GGAGAGAGAGAGAGAGAGAGAGAGAGAGAGAGCATCTGTATGACTGTGCGTGTTTTTGCTAACATTACACTGCCTCTCATGTCTACTATCCGCCGATCGTGAACTTCAAGTTGGAACCACTTTGCTTTGGAAATTTGGCATTGACTTTTTCCTCTTTTCCTCTTTTCTGTTTGATATTCCTTGTGTTTGGATGTTTTTATTGTTGTTGCTTATTGTTTGTTTATTTGTTTTGCGTTTAGCCGAGAATAGATTTCAGTCAGTAGGTATATAATATGTATGTATAATATAATTATAATGGGTTCCCAATTATAATATTATACACAAGATGACAACGATTTTGCCGAAGTTTGGCGAGGTCGCCATCTTGGGTGTTATGTTTTCACAAATCCAATAATCCCATGTGACCACAACAGACGTTGAAAAGGTGTGCGCTGCGTCACTGGGAATGGCTACTTGACGTCATCGTTACTCGTTGACGTTGTGTGCCATCAGAGAGTATTTAATTATATTTTATGGTCTCTGGTGCCATTCTGGTCAATACGAATCCTAGAAAAACACTTTCGCTTCCTGACTGCTTATCATTTTTATTAATAATTATGATAATAATCATGCAACTCGAAGTGTGGCTAATTGTTGTTGAAATACATGCAAGTTTGTTTGTTTGATTGTTTGTTCGTTTGTTTTGATCAACGATTGTTTTACGAGTACATATTATTTTACGATCACATTGTTTATTGCTGTTGTTGTTGTTGATTTCCTTGACCAGCTGATGTTGTGTGGATTTTCCCGAAGAATATATATATAGTATGACCTAGTTCTATGCACATAGACATAATGCGTTGATTGTGATGTAAAATTTGAAATAGTGGCATTGGAGTTACCTGAGGGACTCACCCATAATTTAGATTTACATGCATATTGCACCTTGTACAAACATATACATGTATTTCGTACCAAAAACAAAAAGGATTAAAAATATAAAATAACAATGAAATGCTTTTTTCTGGGGGGTTTTTGGAGTTTTTTTGGTTTGTTTGTTTTGTTGTTTTGTTTTTGTTCTTTCTGTTTGTTTGTTTGTTGTTGTATTTCTGGGTGGGTATATGAAGTTTTGTGTCAGTTCTTTAACAAAGTGTGCGTTCAGTTCAGTTGTCGACGGATGGTGGTTGGAGGGTGTCATTGTTAGCTACGTATTGCTTGGTCCCTCCCCTATCTGTCTGTTATTTCTGTCAGTTCCTACTGCTCTTTTCTTGCATTTCATGGAGGATCTCGTGTGGCTGGGCTTTTTTTGTTTTCCTCATACAAAGACTGAAAATGTAAATGTTTTATACGAGAACTCACATAGGGCAACACACACACA